CCTTCGGCGAGGCGGAGGCGACGGAGTGGTTCAAAACAGCCATTCGGCAGGGCGGTGCCTTGGAAGCAGCGTTCGCCGAGGCAGTAAAATCTGTCTTGCAAGCGGACGTGGCCTCGGACGTCGGGGAGATTCCCACGGCGATCAAGGCAACGGCGGAGACGTTCGAGACGCAGAACGGGCGCACCGACACGGTGATCGCTTCCCTCGAGCAGCGCGTCGTAGCCTGCGAGGAGTTCGTAGCCAAGGCTATCAAGCAAGAGGCTGACCTGGACGCGGCTTTCTCGTGGCGCGAGGTCGAGCGGTCCACAGACGCGCAGGAGTGGTTGGCCGGGTGGAACCGTCTGTTCGTGGACAGAGACTGGCTGGCCAACGTCTCTGCGCAGATGGCAGACCCAGCAATGGTCAACGCCGTATCCGTGTGCATGGCCAACCCGAACAACCCGGATGCGCAGAAGATCAAAGACGCGATCGGTCTGCGCAACGCCCCCAAGACCACCTTGAGGGAGCTGTGCCTGTCGTCGTTCGGCGGCAGTCCAGACCGCTTTCGTGCGTTCATGTCGGACAAGGCGGCGGCCCGGGACGACAAGGTTGTCGCCGCCATCGCCAGGAAGGCGTTGGGCTTCTTCCTCCTGCTCGAGAACCAGCACGTGAACGCAGCCACGGCCAAGCCGACCTCGGCCGCCAAGTTGACCGCCCAGAGGAACGAGATTATGCCTCTCTTGTTCGTTACCCTCAAAGCCATGCGCCGCAAGGCCAAGAAGGCGTCGGCACGGAACAGCCTGGAGCACATCATGCTGCGCTCCGAGTTCAGCTTGGACTGGTCTCTGGGCCTCTCGCGCCTCGCCGTCGCTCCCTTCGTGATGGCTCCGCCCGGCCCCGCCGTCACGGCAGTCGTGACTTCCGGCTCCCCCGAGGGCGCGCCGGGCGCGGTGGGTGGGCCCGCTTACAAGCGCCTGCGCGCAGACCCAGCCCAGGGCGGCGGCGGGGCGCCGGGGGGCAAGGGCAGCTGGGCGCCGCAGCAGGGACTCCCGCAGCAACACCAGAACCAGCCGAACTCCTTCGGCCAGAACACCGGCAAGGGCGGCAAACCCCAGGCGCCGGGCACCGGCAAAGGCGGGAACAACAACCACAAGAAGGCCAACGTGACGGCGATGTTGTCGGAGCTCGGGAACATGGTGGGCAGGCAGCAGCCGGCCGCCGTGCAGGCTTTCGTCGACGCCAAGCACCAGGGCTCGCCGGACGACAAGGAGGCGATCAGGTCCATCATGGGCACCTATTGCCGCCACTGTTTGCTCGGGAGCCGGAGGCTCGTCCAGCACAGCCGGGCCCAGTGCAGGCAAGAGGGCGGCGTGCCGGCCACTCCGTGCAGCCGCTGCGCACAGAAGGGGATCGTGGCATTCCACTGGCAGGAGGAATGCAGAAGCTAATGCGCCTGCCGCGCGCGAGCGCGCAGCCCTCCGGCAAACCGAGCGGCATGCCTCGCCCCTTCTCTGACTACCTCCCCTGTCCCATCTCCCGCTCGCTTGGCTGGCCGGGTAGCCTGGTGAGCCCACAGCCGTGCCGGTGACAGCTGCAGAGAGGCCTTTCGCGTGGCATCTTGTATGTTATAATCCGCGAGCTGGCTTCCCTGCCCCATGCGGGCGAACATGCCCCGTGCTATTCGTGCACGTTCGTTCAGATACAGCCTGCGCGCTTGGGCCGGTTGCAGACGAACCACTTCGGCCCTGGCAGGCGGACCGCGAGGAAAAAACAGCATCGCTTGGGCGGGGGAAAGTTTCCAGGCCCCCCCTCTGGTCAGACGTCGTCGTCTTTGCGGGGGAGGGCCCAGACCCCGTTTTTGCCAGTCACGCGCTTGCCTATAACACCCGCAGGCCTACGGCAAACCCCGCCAGGTGCCAGCGCTGTGGCATTGTTTGTTTGTTCGTCGGAACCCTGCCTGACACGCAGCAGAGACGGTCGCGCGCCCGCGCGCGCCGAGTGCGCCGCCGCAGATTTCCAATGCAAGGTAACGAGACGCCTTTGCCGTGGGACTCCCGTGGACCACCCTTTTGGCCAAATTTCACGGCGACTCTCTCCCTCCGTCTCCCCCTCTCTCTCTCTCTATCTCTCTTTCTCTCGCTGTCTGCTCATTTCACGCATACGCATGCACGCATATATGTATAAGTGAGGGAGAGATAACGTGAGGGTGGGGGAGCGAGAGAGATACCGGGAGCGGGGTGGTCTACGAGACACGGGCGGACAATCGGCCTTGTGGACAGGCTTGCACAGGTGCCCATACCACGCGGCCCCGGCGGGGCTGTGGTGCCAGGAAGGAGGAGGCGGGCCCACCGGGGCTCCACTCAAAAACTATCACTAATTTTACGGATCTCCAGAAAACGCCTTGGACATGGACGGCGGGCCCGCTCGTGATCCGGGCCGGGATCCCAGGTAGCCAGCAGTTGTGGTGGAATCCGACAGGTAATCAGGCCCGTGTGGGTCCGCTCCTCGAGGTTTCCGGCGGCCGGCTCCTGGCTAGGTCTCCAGAAAACGTTCTGGGCGAAGTCGCTGGCGGGTCCGCTCCAGGGGACACTCCCCGTCGGCACTGATGCCCCCGGAAAGCGCTCGCGAGGCACAGCGAGAGTGCGGTTTCCTTTAGGGACGCAGGCGACGCAGCGCCGTCTTCCAGCCCAGGGCCCTCTTCCCACCTCCGCCCTTTTCTCCCGCCCTTGGCCTCCTTCCCTCCCCCCGCCCCCTTCGTCCCTGCAGCCGTCCCGGCTCAAGACCTTGACATGCACCTGTTGAGCGCGCCACTGTCTGGCCAGCCAAACTCTCCGGCGCCATGGGGTGTTGAGTTGCTCTCAGCACCGTTGCCTGAGAGTCGGTGGGCCGTCCGGCCTCGACCCAGGGCCTTGGATGCGCCTGCCTTGCTGGCCCGCCCCGCGACCAGAGGGCCGCGGGCGCTTGTCGGCGCCCCTGCCGCGGGCGACGTGGCCCTCCAGTTCGCGCCGATTCGGGGCGACGTTCTGCAAACATCCACGCAGACAGGGGCATTGTCCGCACGGGCCGCGCTCATGGACACCGCGCAAGACATCCTGCGAGCCGGGTGGGGGCAAAGCACGATCCGGACGTACAGCCGAGCGTTGTCCGTGCACGTTCACGGCTTCGAACAGCAGGTCGATTCCAACATCCTCCCGTTGGATTCCCCGGATAAGCTCATGCTCCTGTTCGCCAGCATGGACGGCATGGCATGGCAAACCATACGCCTCAACAAAGCAGCCGTCAGAGCGTGGCACCAGAGCAACGACTACAGCCAGATCTTCGACGATTGCTGGGACGATCGGGCTTTGCATTTTTGGCGAGGCCTGAAAAAGAGAGCATCCCACGCATCGCACCAAAAACGTGCGATTAGTGTTGAAGAGTGGGCGCTGTTTTGCACGGCCAGGGCGGCAACAGGCACGCCGGCTGGGCGGAGGGACGCAGCTTTCGCGTCGTTTTGCTTTTTCGGCTTGCGCCGCGTTTCGGAGGCGATCAACCTCCGCGTTCAGGACGTGCATTTTAAAGCCTCGTGCCCGTGTTGTTTCATCAGGAAACAGAAGAACGACCCGTGTGGCAAAGGCCAATGGTGTTTCATTCCGTTCAAGGTTATTGCTGGGCTATCCCCGGCAAAATTGCTGCAAGATTGGATGGATTGGAAAGCCGCGACGGCAGCTCACGTGCCTTCCCTATTCTGCACCACGACAGGTTCCCAACTCCAGCCTGTTAGCGCGGATTCGTGGCGCAAGGCGGTTTCGTCACACTTTAAGGACCCAGCCGCTAGCACGCATTCGTTTCGTAGAGGCGGAACAGAATGGTTCACGCACGTAGCAAAGATCCCCCCGCACGTGGTCCAACGGCAAGGTGGGTGGAATTCGGAGGACGTCATGCGTCATACGTACGCCGACACATCCCCAGATACGCTAATGCAGCGTTTCGTCGATAGCCTGGCAGCCTCTTCTGCAGAGCAGACGACGGACCGGCCGACCAAACGCTTGCGAGAGAAGACGGCATCCGCGCGCTCGCTCGGAGGCCCGCAAGGAAAAAATACCGCCGGCTCCCAACACACACCGTTTCGCGGAACACCGCCTCAAGGGGGCCTGCTTCGAGGGGTGATCACCAGGTCGTCTCCTGGCGGTTCCTTCCCTGGTGGGCTGGGGGTACATTCGCCCCCTTGATGCTGGGGAAAAGCATCGACAACGTCGTGAGATTGATCCTATTAGGAGGAAGGCGAAGCTTTTCGGATAATGGGCGATCTAGAGACGCAGATGCTTCGGACATCAGGGACACGATCAACACTGCCAGTGCCTACTGTGCTGGCAATGGTCCGCAGGCGGCCTTACCCGGCTTCGTCGGCGCCTACTGTGCCGCTGGGCTAAGGCTCGGGGGGTCACGTCCCCGCGGGGCCGAGTGCCTGCCGTCCGTTGGCAGGGCGCCGCACAGGGCGCATTGCGTCGCAGGGCGTCTCACATGGCGCCCTGCTTCGCACTTTCCTGCCGTCTCGTGGCAGGACGCCTCACAGGGCGCAGGCCGCGTCGCAGAACGCGCAATCGCCCTCCCGCCCCCCCTGCTTCGCACCGCGACGCGCGCGTAGATGCGGCGAGGGATTCACATACGGCCCGTGCGCGGCCGTTTCTGCCTCAGCTCCCGCTTCCCGAGGCGACGGCCAGCACGGAAGTTTCGGGGGGTGATCACCAGGTCGTCTCCTGGCGGCTCCTTCCCTGGTGGGCTGGGGGTACATTCGCCCCCTTGATGCTGGGGAAAAGCATCGACAACGTCGTGAGATTCCGGGGTAACTAGTGTCCGGGATAACTCGGGTTCGGACTCCCGAAAAACGAACCCGAGTTAGCCCTGACCCGAGTTACCCCTGATGATTCGGGGCTCTGAAGATCTGCCTTCAAACAACCGTTCTTACAGAGCCCCCCCGTCCGGTCCCCTGTCCCCCCCTGCCAGGCCCCCGGCATTTGCCACCCGAAGGGGCGCGCGTCCTGATGCTGCCCAAGGCTCTTGCCTTCACGTGGCGGGCGGGCGGGTGGCCTCCCGCGCACAGGTACCAGAGGCGTCCATAGGAAGGGGGAGGGAGACCTCCTCCTCCTCCTCCTCCTCCTCCTCCTCCTCCTCCTCCTCCTCCTCCTCCTCCTCCTCCTCCTCCTCCCTCCTCCTCCTCCTCCTCCTCCTCCATCTCCCTCCCCTCCTCCTCCTCCTCCTCCTCCTCCTCCTCCTCCTCCTCCTCCTCCTCCTCCTCCTCCTCCCAGGACAGATAGACGATTGGGAGAGGATCAGCCAGGGGGTAGGAACCTGCTACACAGCAGCGCTAGCATCCAGAACAGTGGCGTCCAGAGAATCCCTCTGCCAGCAACTCGTGATGAAACCGTGATGGAGTGTGCGTAGCCAGTGAACCACGCAAATGCGATGAGACACAAACCGCATCTCAGCAATAGCTTCATGCACAGGCATCGAGGAATCATATTGCGTCGAACAGTCGAAGTCGACAGCATAAAAAATCATGGACATCATCACCATCATTATGATCATCAGCATCATGATCACCAACATCGTCCTTTGTACAATGCGCAGCGTCGCCTCGCAACAATCACGCATGGACGCGACAGCCTTATAGCCTGTGGAGGGCCAACAGTGGCGCAGCGTTAGGAAATCCCCCAACACATTCGAGAGCGAAAGACTAATGAAGCCTGCATTTCCTGCAAACCCTCTTCCTCGTCCATTCAAAATGTGTTCCTCGTCCATCCGTCATCTGCAATCTGCCCTTTCGCCCTTCCCCTGGCCTCGCCGAAGTGAAGAATCAGGATGACCGAAGTGTGCCAGCTTCTGTACTGAGCCAGACAGCTCTTGCCACGACACGATCGTGGTGCACAAGACTCGATCGGTACCAACACATGTCATTCCTTCTCTTGACCATGTTCGGCTCATGTGAGACAAGATGCCCCCCCTGTGCTGGAGACCAACATCATCTTATACTGTCAACATATTGTCCACGGTGCCTTTTGCGGAGAAGCTAAGCCTTTTCATGCGTGCGCGATGCATGTCTGCTCTACGCATGTATTGATCGCTCACTGATATGCTCAGGCTGATCCCGAGTTTCGGTCTGACAGCTACATCCACCTTTGTTCAACTGCTTGCTCCTACACTTCCCTGATCAGTGCAACTCGCCTGGGCATCAATTCTAAATGGGATGGCGGGGGTACGCGAGCGGCTGATGCCCATCTCGGACTCGCCTTCCTTCCCGCCATCGTACCCTCGGACATGTACACCACCAACGCCTCATGCCGTGCGCAAGGAACCTCGAATTCCCACGTACGATCCTGCACGAATGGCGCGACGCGATAGGTACCGCGCATTAGCGAGCAAGGCGCGACGAGCGGGGCGGCGAGCGCGAACAACTCGAGCCACGATTGTCACCTCCAGCCCCTACCTCTCTCCAGAGAGTTGTCTGGGCTGCGTGATGTCATATTGCCTGAACCAGCTGTAGCCATGGTAGGTGAGGCCGCGAAGCTGTCTGGCCCAGGCAAGCAGTAATGGTAGGCACGCCGAGGCGTGATGCTGCAGCGGGAGGCCATAACCATCGAGGCACTCGCACATGCAGATGCGGAAGGGCCAGGCTCAGCGACAGAAGGACGCACCGAACCATTATCGTCGACAATCCTGGCCAGACCAATCCTGTACCCACGACTGGTGTGATCCCAATTTCCCGGCCCAGCCAGGACGGCATATGCACAGATAGTTCGCCTGGCATGGGCCTGGCCAATATCGCTGTCGGTGTAAATGTGCGTCGCCCGAACACGCCGCAACGCCATGTGGCTACGATCGTTGCCAGGGGCAGACTCTCAGCGAGTCCTTCATCAGCTCGCACGACTACAGCGCTCACGCGCCAGACCAGCAGACCGCCCAGGTATCCTCAACACGCACAGCGTATTGGACGAGCGCCCCCCCTGCCAAACGGAGACACTTCCAGACATACCACTCCCCCGCCCGTGCCCCTGACACCCAAGCCACTCTGGGTGGCCCCTGGCCAACCGAAACACAGACGGCCAGCACCTACAATTTGGATCATGTTGCTGCCATTCGGTATGCCGTATGTGGAACACATGCGATCAGCACATGCTTCTGCCGCTCGACATGTGGAACGCACTCGGCCCCAAGTGTTTTTATCCTTCTCGCGATCAATGGCCTTACCTGCCCCGGCCTCCTCCCCCTTGGTAACGTTATCACTCGTGCCGGAGGAGGGCGCGTCGCTGGATGCCCCAGACGGGGGGGGGTCCCCCCCCCCCCCCCCTCTCCCCTGTCCCCCCCCCCCTCCCCCCTCTCCCCGTCGTCGGCGCCCCCCCCCCCCCGATCCGCCGTCCCGCACCCCCCCCCTTCCCCCTCCCCACCTTCCTTTCAAAAGTGGGGGGGCGCGGTATGGACCCCCCCAAACCCGACAGCCCAGCCCTGACACCCAAACCCTAAAACCTTAACCCTGACCCTAAGCCCCACTCAAATCCCTAACACCAAAACCCTAACCCCTAACCCTCACTCCTCACCCTAACCCTAACCACTAACCAGAACCGTAACCCTAACCCCTAACCCGAACCCTAACCTTAACCCCTAACACAACCCGAACCCCTACCCTATCCTCTAAACCCTAACGCCCCCACTCCAACCCCGATCGCTAACCCCTGAACCTAACCCCTAACCCGAACCCCAACCTCTTACCCTGACCCTAATCCATGACCCTAACATTACCTTTAACTCTGACCTCTGACCACAAAACCCGAATCGTAAACCCGAACCCTTACCCCTAACCCAGAACCCTAAACCCAAACCCTTAACCCCTAACACAAACCCTAAACCCTAACCCTACACTCTAACCCGAACCCTAACCTCTAACCCAAACCCCTATCCAAAAAAACAAACCTAAACCCCTACCGTAACTAATACCCCCGCCCCCCACACCCCAATCCCAACCTCCAATCCTGACCCTGACTCCTAACCCCTAGCCCCTGAACCGAACCCTCAACCCTAACCCTAACCCTAACCCTAAACCCAAACCCTAACCCCAAATACTAACCCTAACGCTAACCCTGCCCTAAGACCTAGCCTTAATCACTGTTCCCTATTAATAAACACCCCCTCCCCCAGGCGACTGGGGGCCAACCCAGGTCCATGACGACACCTCCCCCACCATCCCTTGTAAAAAACAATGCAAAACACACTCTGCCTCCAAATTCGGAACATGCGCAGCCAACCCGATGCGGCCCCCCCGCCATCCCTATCAACAAACAATACAGAGTACACTTGGCGGCGGCGGCGGCTGCGGCGGATGCGGCGGCTGCGGCGGCTGCGGCGGCGGCTGCGGCGGCGGCGGCGGCGGCGGCGGGGGCGGCGGCGGCGGCGGCGGCGGCGGCGGCAGCGGCGGTGGCGGTAGCGGCAGCGGCTGCGGCGGCGGTTTGGCAGCGGGGGGCGGCGGCGGCAACGCGGCGGTGGCGGCGGCGGCGGCGGCGGCAACACGGCGGCGGCGGCGGCGGCGGCGGCAGGCGGCGGCGGCGGCGGCGGCGGCGGCACCGGAGGCGGCGGCGGCGGCGGCGGATGGGGCGGCGGCGGCGGCGGATTGACCCCCAGTAGCTGCCCATTCAAAGACGACTGCTGAATATGCTGAAGCTTGGGCCAGACTCGGGTGTTACGTATGTGTTGGGAGGGCGGGTGGGAGTGAGCGAGACGGCTTGCGGGCGGGGAGGGTGCCTTGACCCTACTTCCCCACCCCCCAACACACTAACCGTAACACCCGAATCCTCACACCCGCACCCTAGGACCTTACCCCTTACACCCTAACACCCTAACCTTACCACCCTGCGCCCTACCCCGTCCACCCTGGCCCTAGCCCCTACCCGAACAACCTAACCCTACCGCACCAGCGCTCCAGCGCGGGAAGGGCCTCCCCTCCTGCCCCGCCTGTCCTGCGCAAAGGGGGGGAGGGGGGGTCCGAAATTACCCCCCCCCTCTCCAAAGCCAAGGGGGGGCAAGGGAGGGGCGGTCCGAAACCTTCATCTCCCGTTTGAACGGGGGGGGTCCGAACGAATACGCCCCCCCCCTTTAGGGGCGACCGGTTGTTACTGTGGCCCGTTGGGTATTAGTGTGGCCCGTTTGGTATTAGTGTGGCCCGTCGCGTGGCCAGGTGAGGAGTTACTGTGGCCCGCGCTGGCCGTTCAATGGAAATTCAGATGCAGAGGTATCTCATGTTAGATCTGGAAACATTCGCAACCCTTAGCGGAATGCCTTCCCGCGCAGACAAAAGTGGCCACGGTAACTCCCACTTGGCACCAACGTAGAAGTACCAGCACTAGCAACAGCAGTAGTAGTAGTAGTAGTAGTAGTAGTAGTAGTAGTGGTAGTAGTAGTAGTAGTAGAAGTAGTAGTAGTAGTAGTAGTAATAGTGGTAGTAGTCGTAGTAGTAGTAGTAGTGGTACCAGTAATCGTGCGACTAGTAGTAGTAGTAGTAGTAGTAGTAGTAGTAGTAGTAGTAGTAGTAGTAGTAGTAGTAGTAATAGTAGTAGTAGTAGTAGTAGTAGTAGTAGTAGTAGTAGTAGTAGTAGTAGTAGTAGTAGTAGTAGTAGTAGTAGTAGTAGTAGTAGCAGCAGTAGTAGCAGTCGTAGTAGTAGTAGTAGTAGTAGTAGTAGTAGTAGTAGCAATGGTAGTAGTAGAAATAGTAGTGGTAGTCGTAGTAGTAGTAGTAGTAATAATAATAATAGTAGTAATCGTAGTAGTAGTCGTAGTAGTAATAGTAGTACCAGTACTGATACCAGTACTAGTAGTCGTCCTCGTAGTCGTAGTAGTACAAGTGGTAGTAGTAGTAGTAGTAGTAGTAGCTGTCGTAGAGTAGAAGTACCACTACCACCACTACTACTACTACTACTACTACTCCTCCTACTACTAATACTCGCAGTCGTTGTAGTACTCGGCGTAGTAGTGATAAGAGTATAAGTAGCAGTAGTAGTAGTAGTGGTAGTAGTAGTAGTAGTAGTAGTAGTCGTAGTGGTAGTAGCAATACTAATAAGTCGTAATAGAAGTCCATAGTACCAGTCGCAGTAGCAGTAGCAGCAGCAGCAGTAGTAGTAGTAGCAGTAATAAAAGGAGTAGCACCAGTAATAGACACAATAGTAGTACTCATAGTAGTAGCACTCATAATAGTAGTACCCATAGTCGTAGCAATAGTAGCAGCATTAGTCGCAGTAGTTCTAGTAGTAGTACAAGTAGTAGTAGTAGTAGTAGTAGTAGTAGTAGTAGTAGTAGTAGTAGTCGTAGTAGTCGTAGTAGTAGTAGTAGTAGTAGTAGTAGTCGTAGTAGTAGTGGTATTGGTAGTCGTAGTAGTAGATGCAGTGGTCGCAGAAGTAGCGGTAATAATAAGGATAATGGTGCTAGCAGTGTCGGGATCAGCCTTAATAGTAGTATTCCGATTAATTGTAGTAGTGGTATCAATAAAAATAGCAGTAGTAGTAGTGGTAGTAGTACTACTAGTAGCAGTAGTAGCCACGTCGCCGCGGTAGTGGTAGCAGTAGTAATAGTAGTACACGTCGTAGTAGTAGCGACAGTAGTGGTAGCAGTCGTGGTCATAGTAGTCAAACTAGTAGTGGTAGTCGTAGTAGTAGCAGTAGTAGTAGTAGTAGCAGCAGCAATACTGGTAGCAGTCGTAGTATTAGTGGCGGTGGTAGTAGTGGTGGTAGTGATAGCAGCCATACTAATAATACCAATGACAGAATCAATGGTAGCAGTAGTAGTCGTAATCCTACTTATCCCTGGAGTAGAAGTAATCGCAGTAGAAGTAGTAGTAGCAGTAGTAATAGTAGTGGTAGTAGTAGTAGTAGTAATAGCAGTAGTAGTAGTAGTAGTAGTAGTAGTAGTAGTAGCAGTAGTAGTAGTAGTCGTAGTAGTCGTAGTAGTAGTAATAGTAGTAGTAGTAGTAGTAGTAGTAGTAGTGGTAGTCGTAGTGGTAGTCGTACCCGTAGTCGAAGAAGTAATAATAGTAATAGTACTAGTCGCAGTAGTAGCCGTGGTAGTGGTGAAATTAGGAGTAGTAGTACTCGTCGTAGCAGCAGTAGTAGTAGTAGTAGTAGTAGTAGTAGTAGTAGTGGTAGTAGTAGTAGTAGTAGTAGTAGTAGTAGTAGAAGTAGTAGTAGCAGCAGCAATAGTAGTAATGGTAGAGAATTACCCGGTGACGTCCCCAACCCATTTGTATCAATGGAAACGAGGAGTTGGCCGAACCTTGTATGGACAACCAGCTTGATGTCTAAGCTACTTGGGGCGTCACTGTGCTGGGCCCCGCAAGCAGGCCTCGAAAGTGGCGACTGTTTCACAGATCGCAGCCCCCCAGGGACGGCGAGGTCTAATTTGAATTTGAGTGTGGGTACCCACTGTGCTGGGCCCCGCAAGCAGGCCTCGAAAGTGGCGACAGTTTCACAGATCGCACCCCCCCAGGGACGGCGAGGTACCATTCGAGTCCGCCGTGGGTACCCACTGTGCTGGGCCCCCCAGCAGGCCTCGAAAGTGGCGACAGTTTCACAAATCGCACCCCCCCAGGGATGGCGAGGTCACATTTGACTCCGCCGTGGGTACCCATTGTGCTGGGCACCGCAAGCAGGCCTCGAAAGTGGCGACAGTCTCACAGATCGCAAACCCCTCAGGAATGGCGATGTGTAATTTAAACATGCGGTGGGTACCCACTGTGCTGGCCCCCTCAGCAGCCCTCGGAAGTGGCGAGAGTTTCACAGATCGCAGCCCCCCAGGGGTGGCGAGGTCTAATTTGAATCTGCGGTGGGTACCCACTGCGCTGGGCCCCCCAACAGGCCGCGAAAGTGGTGACAGTTTCACAGATCGCAGCCCCCCAGGGATGGCGAGGTCACATGTGGGTCCGCCGTGGGTACCCACTGTGCTGGGCCCTCCAACGAGCCTCGAAAGTGGCGACAGTGTCACAAATCGCAGCCCCCCATGGATGGCGAGGTCCCATTTGAGCCCGCCGTGGGTACCCACTGTGCTGGGCCCCGCAAGCAGGCCTCGAAAGTGGCGACAGTTTCACAGATCGCACCCCCCCCAGGGACGGCGAGGTACCATTCGAGTCCGCCGTGGGTGCCCACTGTGCTGGGCCCCCCAGCAGGCCGCGAACGTGGCGACAGCTTCACAGATCGCAGCCCCCCATGGGATGGCGAGGTCACATTTGAGTCCGCCGTGTGTGCCCACTGTGCTTGGCCCCCCAGCAGGCATCGAAAGTGGCGACCGTTTCACAGATCGCAGCCCCCCAGGGATGGCGAGGTCTCATTTGACTCCGCCGTGGGTACCCACTGTGCTGGCCCCCCCAGCAGCCATCGAAAGTGGCGACAGTTTCACAGATCGCAGCCCCCCAGGGATGGCGAGGTCTAATTTGAATTTGCGTGTGGGTACCCACTGTGCTGGGCCCCGCAAGCAGGCATCGAAAGTGGCGACCGTTTCACAGATCGCAACCCCCCAGGGATGGCGATGTCTAATTTGAATCTGCGGTGGGTACCCACTGTGCTGCCCCCCCCCCCCCAGCAGGCCTCGAAAGTGGCGACAGCTTCACAGATCGCAGCCCCCCCCAGGGATGGCGAGGTCACATTTGACTCCGCCGTGGGTACCCACTGTGCTGGGCCCCACCCAGCAGGCCCCGAAAGTGGCGACAGCTTCACAGATCGCAGCCCCTCCCCCAGGGATGGCGAGGCCAAATTTCACTCAGCCGTGTGTACCCACTGTGCTGGGCCCCCCAGCAGGCCTCGAAAGTGGCAACGGTTTCACAGATCGCAGCCCCCCAGGGATGGCGAGGTGCAATTTCAATCCGCCGCGTGTACCCACTGCGCTGGGCACCCCAGCAGGCCTCGAAAGTGGCGACAGTTTCACAGATCGCAGCCCCCCAGGGACGGCGAGGTGCAATTTCAACCCGCCGTGGGTACCCACTGTGCTGGGCCCCCCCCAGCAGGCCTCGAAAGTGGCTGCAGTTTCATAGATCGCAGCCCCCCCAGGGACGGCGAGGTGCAATTTCAATCCGCCCTGGGTACCCACTGTGCTGGACCCCCCAGCAGGCCTCGAAAGTGGCGACAGTTTCACTGATCGCAGCCCCCCAGGGATGGCGAGGTGCAGTTTCAATCCGCCGTGGGTACCCACTGTGCTGGCCCCCCAGCAGGCCTCGAAAGTGGCGACAGTTTTCACAGATCGCAGCCCCCCAGGGATGGCGAGGTGCAATTTCAATCCGTCGTGGGTACCCACTGTGCTGGGCCCCCCCGCAGGCAGCGAAAATGGCGACAGTTTCGCAGATCGCAGCACCCCAGGGATGGCGAGGTGCAATTTCAGTCCGCCGGGTGTGCCCACTGTGCTGGGCCCCCGAGCAGGCATCGAAAGTGGCGACGGTTTCACAGATCGCAGCCCCCCCCCAGGGATGGCGAGGTGCAATTTCAATCCGCCGTGTGTACCCACTGTGCTGGGCCCCCCAGCAGGCCTCGAACGTGGCGACAGCTTCACAGATCGCAGCCCCCCAGGGATGGCGAGGTGCAGTTTCAATCCGCCGTGTGTACCCACTGTGCTGGGCCCCCCAGCAGGCCCCGAAAGTGGCGACAGTTTCATAGATCGCAGCCCCCCAGGGATGGCGAGGTGCAGTGTCAATCCGCCGTGTGTGCCCACTGTGCTGGGCCCCCCAGCAGGCTTCGAAAGTGGCGACAGTTTCACAGATCGCAGCCCCCCAGGGATGGCGATGTCTAATTTGAATCTGCGGTGGGTACCCACTGTGCTAGGCCCCCCAGCAAGCCTCGAAAGTGGCGACAGTTTCACAAATCGCAGCCCCCCAGGGATGGCGAGTTGTAATTTCAATCCGCCGTGTGTACCCACTGTGCTGGCCCCCCCAGCAGGCCTCGAAAGTGGCGACAGCTTCACAGATCGCAGCCCCCCAGGAACGGCGAGGTGCAATTTCAATCCGCCGTGTGTACCCACTGTGCTGGGCCCCCCAGCAGGCCTCGAAAGTGGCGACAGTTTCACAGATCGCATCCCCCCAGGGATGGCGAGGTGACATTTCAGTCCACCGTGTGTACCCACTGTGCTGGGCCCCCCAGCAGGCCTCGAAAGTGGCGACAGTTTCACAGATCGCAGCCCCCCAGGGATGGCGAGGTGCAATTTTAATCCGCCGTGGGTACCCACTGTGCTGGTCCCCCCAGCAGCCCTCGAAAGTGGCGACAGTTTCACAGATCGCAGCCCCCCAGCTGGCAGGCAGCGACGAGCGAAGGCAGGGGGGAAGAGAGTGACGGGGGGGGGCGGGAAGGAAGGAATAAAGAAAGGAAGGGGGCGCGCGAGCAGTGCTCTATTCAAAACGAGAACCCAACGCAGGAGGGTTGGGAATAATCGTAGTAGCACTAGTAGTCATACTAGTCAAACTAGTAATAGCAGTAGACGTAGTAGTAACAGTCGTCGTCGTCGTAGTCGTAGTAGTAGTAGTTCTGAGAATGGTCGTAGTAGTAGTAGTAGTAGTAGTAGTCGTCGTCGTCGTCGTCGTCGTCGTCGTCGTCGTCGTCGTCGTCGTCGTCGTCGTCGTCGTCGTCGTCGTCGTCGTCGTCGTCGTCGTCGTAGTAGTAGTAGTAGTAGTAGTACTAGTACTAGTGGTAGTAGTAGTAGTAGTCGTCGTCGTCGTCGTCGTCGCAGTAGTAGTAGTAGTAGTATAAGTAGTAGTAGTAGTCGTAGTAGTAGTAGAAGTAGTAGTAGTAGTAGTAGTAGTAGTACTAGTAGTACTAGTAGTGATAGCAGTAGTAGTAGTAGTAGTCGTAGTAGTAGTAGTAGTAGTAGTAGTAGTAGTGGTAGTAGTAGTAGTAGTAGTAGTAGAAATAGTAATAGTAGTGGAAGTAGTAGTAGTAGTAGTAGTAGTAGTAGTAGTAGTAGTCGTAAGCAGTAGTAGTAATAGTAGTAGTAGTAGTAGTAGTAGTACTATTAGTAGTAGTAGTAGTAATAGTAATAGTAGTAGTTGTTGTAGTCGTAGTAGTAGCAGTAGGAGTAGTTATCGTAGTAGTAGTAGGAGTAGTAGGGGTAGGAGTAGTAGTAGTAGCGGAAGTAGTAGTAGTAGTAGTAGTAGTAGTAGTAGTAGTGGTAGTAGTGGTAGTAGTCGTAGTAGTATTAGCAGTAGTAGTAGTAGCAGTGGTAGCAGTAGCAGTCGTAGTACAACTAGTCGTAGTAGCATTAGTATTAATATGCGTATTCGTATTAGTAGTAGTAGTAGTAGTAGTAGTAGCAATAGTAGTAGTAGTAGTAGTAGTTGTAGTAGTCGTAGTAGTAGTAGTCGTAGTAGTAGTAGTAGTGATAGTAGTAGTAGTAGTAGTAGGAGTAGTAGTAGTAGTAGTAGTAGTAGTAGTCTGAGTAGTAGCAATAGTAATAGTACAAGTCGTCGTCGCAGTAGCCGTAGTAGTCGTAGTAGTGGTAGAAGTCGTAGTAGTCAGAGTAGTAGTCGTAGCAGTAGTCGCAGTAAAAGTCGCAGACGTAGTAGTAGTAGTAGTAGTAGTAGTAGTAGTAGTAGTAGTAGTAGTAATAGTAGTAGTAGTAGTAGTAGTAGTAGTAGTAGTAGTAGTAGTAGTAGTAGTAGTAGTAGTAGTAGTAGTAGTAGTAGTAGTAAGAGTAGTAGTAGTAGGAGTAGTAAGTCGTAGTAGTAGTAGTAGTAGTAGTAGTAGTAGTAGTAGTAGTAGTAGTAGTAGTAGTAGTAGTAGTAGTAGTAGTAGTAGTAGTAGTAGTAGTAGTAGTAGTAGTAGCTAGTACTAGCATGGATACGAATGCCAGCACTAATGCTAATTAGTAGTAGTCGTCGTCGTAGTAGTAGGGGGGGAAGGAGGGGAGAAGGAGGAAGTGACGAGGGAAAGAGGGAGGACGAGGAATGCCATGGATTTGGGAGAAGAATGGAGGCGATGGAGTGGGGAAGATTCCGGAGGAGTGCCGAGAAGTGCAATGGAATGGGAAGGAAGGAAAGAGGAGAGAGGAGGGAGGAGGGTGGAGGGAGAGCGAGGGAAGAATGAGAAGGCAGGAGAAAGAGTGCCATGGAATGGGGGGGCGGAAGGAGTAGTGCGATGGAGTGGGGAGGACTCCAGAGGAGTGGGGAGGAACGCCGAAAAGCAAGATGGAGGGAGTTTCGAGGAGTGGGGAGGGATGCTGAGGAGTACGGTGAAGTGCGGAAAGGTACAGAGGAGTGGGGAGGAGTGCGGAGAGGGGGGAGGAATGGAGTGAAGTGCGGAGGAGTGCCGAGGAGTGCGATAGAGTGCGGAGGAATGGGAGGCTCTGGAGAGCTCCTTGTAGGGCTCCTTGGAGTCCCTGAAGGCCTCGGCGAGCCCAAGAGGCTCTTCGGCTGCTCCAGGAGGCTCTTCGGAGAGCACAAGAGGCTCTTCGGCGGCTCCAAGAGGCTTGTCGGCGGCCCCCAGAAGCTCTTCCGAAAGGCTCTTCGGTGAAGGGGGGGGGGAGGATGCTCTTGGGAGACTGCCCTCCTCCCCCTTCGCCGTACTCGTTGATTCATACCCTCCAGAGGAACCCTGGCCATTCGAACACCCACCGGGCCGCACTAACAACCAACGGGCCACAGTAACACCTCATCTCCCTTGAAGGGGGGAGGGGGTGGGTTCTGAAAGCACACCCCCCTTTTCAATTACGATGGCATCCACTGGCGCTCATTCATGCTGAAGAATAGCCAAGAAAGCTCGAATAGCAGTTGCCAGTACGGATATGTTGTGGAAGAGCGCGCAACAGGCTATGGATACGCAAGGAACTGCGATTGGTAGCTACGGATAGCGAAGCGCGGCGTCAGGGATTGCTGAGAACAGAGTACGGCGCTGTTCGATCCTCCCCCCTTCATCCCTGGTCTTCTCCTCCTTCCCCTCCTTCTCCTCCTCCTCCTCCTCCTCATCATCATTGCATTCTGGGTGCTCCACGCAGGGGCAGAGGAATGAGGGAGGGAGTCGAAAGAGGGGGGGGGGGGGGCGAGGCAGGCGGGGCCGAGCCGAAACGACCTGCGCGAATCTGCTCGGCTGTCCTCGGCTCGTGCTCCGGGAGGGGTCCGGGCGCCCCTGGGCCCGAGGCAGGACATGGCCTCGTCGTCGGCCTCCTCCCCTTCCGCTTCCTCGTGCTCCTCCCGTTGTCGTCCTATGCCTCCCTATTGCGCTGACATGTGCATCACAAATAGCAACAAAGTGCGCGCTCTGTCGCCTGGGCGCACCGGTGGCGTGCGGAATGGCGCAGGCCCAGGGGGTACATACACATGGGTCGCTTCCAGCTCAACCTCACCAACCGGACTGCCACCGCACATTTCAAGCTGGGTGTCTTCAGCAACCCAGGAGGCTGGAAATACACGCGCTTGGAATCACATGCGGGACATGCCGAGGCCCATTGCCGGATACACGTGCGGATGGATGGCGAATCTAGCCACACGAGGGCCGAACCCTGGAAAGACATGCGGCGGCATGCGAATTCCAGCTCTCGCCCAAGCCGAGGCGCCCAGACTCCTCCCGGAGCACGATGTAATCAGACAGGTCGTTTCGCCTGGCTGCGCCTCCCTCGCCGCCTCCCTTCTACCAACTTCCTTCTTCCGTCCTTGCGTGAAGCACCATGCAGTAGAAAGCAGAGGACGAGGATGATGAGAGAAGGAGGACGACGGCGACGCCGACGACGACTGGGAGAAGGAGAAGGAAGACGGATGAGGGAGAAGGAGGAAGGCCTGGAAGAGGGGGAGACGGAGAAGGGAGGAGCTCTGCTGTGGCAGATTCCTTTATGTATGCGCGCTCGGCTCTGCGAAGCATATCCCTCTACGTATCTGCTATCCGAACTGTTTGAGGTCATCCCTAGGCGTTCCCGAACTGCGATGGCACCAAACGTGATGTTACCAATCCCTTCCCCAACCCACCCACCCCCCGTGCAACCTGTTACCGCTCGGGAATAGGAACAACAAAAACATCAAAGCCAAGAACATCCACTGATAACGGAATTATTGTGTTTGTATGGGACGCGCCGGTTCATCGCCACTCTTCTTGACAATTGCATGAGGTCGTCAACATCATGGCAACAACATAATTTCCACAGAACCTCCATGTTGTGTGCCGCAGGTCGCATCATGACAGTGTTAAGGCATGGAAGCTTCATAGCAACGCTAGCGCCGAAGCGGCCAATGCAACGCCAGATTCAAAAGCATCACCAACCCGGTCTCCAGCAGCCCAGTCGCCCCCGAGGGCTAAGTGCCTTTCCGAATCCACAAGGCATTTGGCTGTTCCGCGCATGGGGTTCAAAGGAAAGGCATTGTTCCAACGGAAAGCTTCAGAATAAACGACGTCTTGTGTTCCAAAGTCCTTTGTAAACTCTGCAAGCATGGCTTCGCGAACCTTGTCGGTAGAAGCCTCGCGCATACTATAACTCCACCCTGCAGAAGCATGCAGAACCCAACACTCGGGAGCGTTGCCTGTGCCGGGGCGTCCTGGCTTTGAGCTATCCCTTGCCACCCATGCCAGTACACCAGCATCAGCAGAATTGGCAACAAAAGCACCATCGAAGGGTATGTGGGCCAAAGGAGACGCTACGGCAACCAACAACGCCCAACATACTGGACTGTTGATCCCTTTTACTTCGTCTGGCACCGAGGTAAGTAACAAACGGTTGATGCTCTTTGCACTGGTTGCTACAACCAAAACACGGGCTTCCACTTCAGTCGCCGTGCTTTCAGTTGTCCGTGATGCTAGCTGTAGGCGCCATCTTCGCGATGGCGAATGCCTCTGGACATTTTCTGCACGAGTGCGCTTCTTCACAACAATGTCAATTGAACGGCCCCTCTGATCTTCCTTTAGACCAACGCCTGCTCGCCCCAGAATGTGCCTTCCCAAAGCACTCATGGAAGGAGCACCAACCATAATGCTTGCGAGCTTCTCCTTCGGAAAAGCAGTAAAACTACTCATGTTTAAGCTACCCTCATCTTCATCAAAATCCAGCGTACCGATACGCCCTTGCCAATGCTGTACAACACCTGCTTCCAACCATCGCTCAACCTCCTGAGCGAATTGCGGTTGACAAGCTTCCTTCACAGAGAAATACTGGCACCCGTGGTCAAAAACAAGTGAATGCCCTGTCTTTGGGCAACTCGCATGCCGGGTGCACATGCGGCCACCAACCCCACGGCCCTGCTCCACCAGAAGCAACCGCAATCCGCGACGCGATAACCTTGAAATTGCTGCGAGGCCTGCAATTCCTCCGCCAACCACTGCTACATCAAAAAGACTTGGCTGAGCGGCATCGGAATCATCCATAGATGAGACGCTGTGCCGAGCAACTGTGCAACCCCCTTGAGTTCCTGGATGGCCACTACAAGCACGCTGGGATATTAGACTGCATGTTGCTAAAACAGATGGCCGTATCGCCCCGGTTGAAGCCTTCAGGTTTCGGCTACGCGAAGATATGGACCAACTCACGAAAAGATGCGGGAATAACCTCGTGGTGATGAGACCCATCAGAACAATTACACACTGCCAATGTTAATGTTAAACAACTTGTACTCATGCATGGCCTTTTTGCCTTGAGCCACATCTTTTACGGACGGGTGCGGAGTTGATAATCCTCGCACCTGTAATTGTCGCATGACTTGCAAGATCGTCAACGTGAATACATCCCTGCAACTAATTGGGTCCAACGCCTCAGCGCAAGAACCGAGCCGAAGAAATCCGCCGACCCCTTGGGGTCATCGGCGTGTGAGATGCTTCCCCCTCCCCAAACCCCTCCCCCCGGGGCCTGGTCCGGTCGATTTGTAAGGGGAGTGGGGGGTCTGGCCGGCCCTGGCTGAACGCGCCACGGGCCTCACGACGGGCCATGAGGGCCCCAAGAGGCCCACAAGATGGTACAAGAGGGCCCCGAGTCGCCGATGGATCGTTCCAAGACGCCCAACCCAGACGGCCCAAGAGGCCCCCAAGACGCCCCAAGAGGCCCCCAAGAGGCCCCCAAGAGGGCCCCCAGAAGCAAGGATCGTCCCATTTTCTGTGAGAAACGTGTGATTTTAACACATTCGCCTCTTGGGCTTTGACAGAGTCCAAGACGGCTCAAGAGGCCTCCAAGATCGCCTCAGGCCCAAGACGGCCCAGGGAGCCCCTAAGAAGGCTCCAAGACGGCCCAAAAGAGCCCCAAGACGGCCCAAGAGGCCCCCAAAGCGGCTCCAGGAGAGAACCCAGGCGGGAGACCCGAACGGAAATTTCGAGCCCTCGGCCCCAAGAAGCCTCCAGGATGCCTCAAGAGGCTCCCAAGAAGCCCCCAAGAGGCTCCAAGAGGCCCACCAGGAACCCCAAGAGGCCCCAAAACGGCCCCCCAAAGGCCTCAAAGTGCTGCCAGGAGGCCCCCGAGAGACCTACCAGGAGCCCCCCAAGGGGTCGGCGGTGCGACGTAAGCCCAAGAATCCAAGAATAAGAAGTACAACGTCGAAGCGAGGCGCGCAATGCGAGCAAACGGGGAATGGCTAAAGAACAAACAGCGAGCACGAGTGCACAACTGCATGGGCACAACAACGTCCATATAGTGGGACTGCCAGTGGGAAGTTGAATACGCGTCGGGCACGAATTTGTCTCAAACGCCTTAGGCATCTTGCAAACGCATATGCTCACGGGTGTGGTCCTTCGCTGGGCCTGCATGCCTCGCGTGTCTCGCACTGCAACGCGGCATCTCCAAACGATGAGGCGGGCGACAGTTTAAGAGATTCACTCCCTTCCTGGACAAGTGAGATAGCAACACCAGGCGAGACATGCTACGCTTGCAAATCTACTAGGTTACCGAGGCCAGGGAGGGAGTCCAGCCATGCTCGGGGAATGGGCGAATAAGCTAAGCTAGCAAGTCTAGACTGTGGTAGCCAGCCTAGGAAGGCCACACCAGGCCATTGAAGCCTGGCGAGCAACGATTTGATATCGAGATAACCAGGCGAGCCAAGAAAGCCAGGTCGAACTGGCAAGACTGATACTATGCTACCTGCGCTATCCGCAGGCTGACGGGGCATAGCTGGCAAAACTAGTCAAAATAGGCCATCAACACTGGGCTAGCAGGAGCAGGCGAAAAACCGTTGGCTGGCCATGCTTGGCTAGCTAAGCGAAGAAACCCGCGCTAATCTGGACTTCTCAGGCTTGGCCCACTAGAGCAATTTTGACAACATGCGATACGCACGTCAGAAACTCATTGACACTGTTGGGCGGATACACTTCGCTACCAGGGCGAGAACGTCTAGCTAGCATCTAGGCCCCAAAGGAATGCCCAGTGGCTCTCAAAAAGGCTTTACCGGGTTCCCAGAAGCGCCAACCAGCTACATCATGGACCAGTCCTTCTGGTGATCATGAGGTCTGGGGAGTTGTAATGAACTTGCGATTCGAGTGGCATTTCGTGTTGCATTGCGGTATCAATTTGATCTACAAGTCAATTTCGATTTGGATGTGCACCTCGATGTGCAACTTGGTTTGAATGCAAGCTTGCAACTCGACTGCACGTGAATGTGCAGTCGGCTGCTCACGTCGTTGTGGGCTTGCAGTCGCATCTCGGTGTGCATTCCGAGTGCAAGTGGGAGCCCATGTCAAGTTGTATACATATTTGCATTCAGGGATTTGCGTGTCGCTGTGCAGTTCTATTGTAGTTAGATGCGCATGCCAATGCGCATGACAGATTGCATGTCGACTTTCAGTATGATTGTAATGTAATAAATACATCGATGTGCGTTCGATGTGGCGTTCGATGTGTACCCCACTGTCTGCCGGTTTCATATCCGACTTTCATGTCGGTGTGCGTCTCCGTCTGCGGCTCAATATGATGCTCTATCCGTTGTCATTTCGGCTTGCATATCTTATGCAATTCGATTCCGATGTTTCACTTCCCACGGGACAACCGCGAGACAACCCGCGGGACAACTGCTGACCAACAACGGGACAACCCTCAGGACAACCCGCGGGAAGACGCACAAGACTATCGCGGGACAACTGCGCGGGAAAAACACTAAAACAACGCATGACAATCAAAGCAAACCAACTAGACAACTCAACGCCCCACCGCGAGAAACCTGAGGGCAAACCAATGTGCCCGGGTTGGACCTGACCTCGGCCGACACATCGTCGCACTCGCGTCCCCGCACGCCTGCACGACATGAACCGAAACCGAAGCCGATGTCCAAGTTGGGGCCACAAGGCTCGCACCACCCAACTTGAGATGCGTCGAGTGTTCCTACACCTTGCCAGTTCGGCGGTTCGGCCCGGAAAGTACCTGATAATGGATTACCCTTTGAAGCCCGCTGGGGCTTAACCCTGCACCTTCCCTCACACACACACAATATGATCGTATTCTGTGCCAGGGCCGCGTGGATGATCTGATCACCACACACATGATACTTTGCGCATGCAAAGAAAACAACATCTGCAACATGCATCAAACAATGAACTCTCCACGCATACATAGCGGAGCCAGCCAGCCCCCCCCATGCATCCCAGCCAACGCAGCAAGCCTTGCCCCACCGTATAGCGTGCGGAAAACAAGAGAACACAAACAATACAACTGCCACATGGACGTACATCGGAGGATGGGGGAAAGGCGGTGAATTAGCAAAACGATGGGGACAAATTGGAGGAACGCTGGATCCGATACAATTCCTCTATCGGCGCAAAAGTCTACAACCCGCAGCCTCGAACAACCAGACCATTGCATCCCCAATGTTGCCCTGACAGGGCCAGACTTGTAAGAACCATGTCACCTCACACGGCTTGACCGACTGTACAGGAGGGCGGACGATCGACGTGATGAAGCAATTAGTTGGAATCACAATGGTGCCGCGTAGTAGTGTCGTTGACGACAGCCGCTGCAACGGCTGGAACGCAATGTTTCAATTGCATGTGTGCAGATCGAATATTTTTTTCTGCGAGCAGCGGCACCCCGTCGTCTGCTCCTCGCTGGCCGCTCTTATTACATGCGTCGTGAGACGTTAGCCCGATGAGAATGAGTAAACAAGAACAAGTGGACGAGGAGACAATCGGAGAGGAAGGAGTGGAGAGGGATGAAGCAATACGGGGACAGGGAAAGACACTGGACGTCAGACAGGATCGGAGGAGGAGAGGTGACGAAGACAAAGTATGCGGAGGATTAAACAGGGGTTGGGAGATGAAGAGATGAAAGGCGGAAGAGCAGGAAAGGAGACACTAATGACAAAATCTCCCTTCCGCATGTACTCGCCATATAGATCGGCGGCAAGCCCAGGGGAAATATCGGAAATCCTCGGGCCTCCTGAGGATTGAGTTAAGCCGGAGGGCTTCTGAGCAGCCCCGCCCCCTTCTGAGAAGGCCACCTTCTTCATAATTCCCCCCCTCGCTCGCCGCCGCATGTAAAGGCGCCTACCTCATCTCTTCATCCACCTCCACACCCTCCTCCCTCCTCCCCTCCCTCCCTCCGCTCGCCCTCCGCTGCGCCCATTCTTCTTCCGCCTTCCCCGTCTCGGCATCCGCCTGATCCGCTTCCTTCCCCTCTTGCAGCTCTTCCGCCTCCTGCTCCTTACTGCTAACCACCCCTTGAGCAGGGACCGACCGTCCCAGCATTCTATAAACATACCACGAAATGTCCTTAGAAACCGATAGAGTTCCAAGAACAGAAACAATGTTCGTGGAACATCTTCCCGATGTGTCAGGACAAGACGGTCCCAGCCAAGCATGTTCCAAGAACATCTCGTGGAAATCACATAAGGTTCTTAGAACATTGTTTGGTAATTAGGCCTGTATAAGGGGAACAACAAGTGACATAAACATAACAACTCGGAGGTCCGCGCGGATTTCTCGGATCGGCGCTGGGGCCCCCCGGCGGCGCCTCTGGCGCCGCCCCTGGCGCGCTCCGCGCGCCAGGGAGGGGGGTCCAGCGCGGATCCGAGCAATCCGCGCGGACCTCCGAGTTTCTGTGTTCATGCCACTTTTCGTTCCCCTATATAGTCTAGGCACGCCACGACGCTTCGCCACTGCTTGAACCCCCCTTCGCCCCGCCTCGGGGATGGACAGACCTCCCTTTAGTAAAACGTGGTTTCGTGAAAACGACCTGAGGCTCAAACCTGGCGGGCGCAAGCCTGGAAAATAACGGCCGCGGCGCCCTCTCGAGAACCGAAAACGGACAGGTCACTACTCGACGTGTCACTGTTGGGGGTTCTGTCCACCTCCGACCCGCAACAGCGTCTCCTGCATCCGGCTCACCGGCCGCCCCGGTCCCCCGACGGCGAGGCGGCGGCGGCGAGCAGGACCGCCCTGCTCCTGCCCGGCGGAGCACCGGGGCCGGCGCTGCGGCGGGCACCGGGGGGGGGGGAAGGGGGGGGGGCACGGGGGGCTCGGACGGCGGTGACAGTTCAGCGGGCGAAGAACGGTATAAAATAAACTTTTTCGCTGTCGGGGGCGCCTGTCCCTGGGCGGCTGGAAGTTTATACCCCTACGGTGCCACCGTAAGGGTAGAAACTTTCCAGCCGCCCAGGGACAGGCGCCCCCGACAGCGAAAAAGTTTATCTTATGCCGTTCTTCGCCCGTGAAACAGTGCGCGAGGCGACGAAGCCGACGGCCTCGCCGCACATCGAACTCGAGGCGGTCGCACGCGTCGGCCCCCACGCCCCGCTCGCCGCGCGGGAACTGCCCCCCCGGGCAGTCGGCGCGGCGCTGCCGGCCACGGCGGCCCTCGGCCGCGGAGAGGGCCCGAGGGCCAGGCCAGAGGACCGGCCCGCGAGCCAGAGCCTCTCCTGAGCCCAGAGTGGGCAATCCCTCCCTCCTCCTCCTCCTCCTGCCTCCTCCTCCTCCTCCTCCTCCTCCTCCTCCTCCTCCTCCTCCTCCTCCTCCTCCTCCTCCTCCTCCTCCTCCTCCTCCCCCCTGTCACAAGCATCCGACACCCACTTTCCTCCACGCCGAGCCACAGGCCCTGGCGAATGCCTGCTCCAACACCGATGCATGGCAGGCGGCCTCACTCGAGCAGGCTTCCAACCGATCCGCGGACAAAGCCAGCACTTCAGCGTCTCGACTGCACCATGGGGAACGGGAGTGGTGTGCCTCATGGGGTTGTCGGGTGGCTCAGCTAGGCGCGCGCGCGCGCTGGCCTGGGCCCACGGCGTCTGGGGAGAAGCGGCACGACTCCACTGCCGTCACCCTGTCCACGCCGCAGCATTCACCGATCATCGGACTTCAGTGCGCTCCAGCTCGACCCCGAGAATGCTGACGAGGAGGAAAGGAGGGAGAGCGGAGGAAGGGAGCAAACGTGACCACAAGGGCATGGCAATCAGGCCGTAGCCTCAGCAATGAAGATCATGAAATCAACCATGTGCTACGTATGCCGACTCACCTCAATGACCTCGTCGGGGCGCTTCCAGCGGCCCCTCGCAAAGCACTGTGTGCTGCTGTGGTCATTCTGTCGTGGCTTGGACGCTGCCCGAGTGTGTCCTTGCCCGATGTCACTGGTGTGGACGTGCCCCTCCAAGATATGTAGGGTGTCGGGAATCGTGCACCAGATCGGCACCTCTTAAGGGACTCATGGAAGAGACCTGAGGGCCACCCCGAATCTGCGGCACCTCGGGCGCAACGCTTGGGCGCGACCCTGTGGCCTCGCAGAAAAGACGTGTGGGCGGCCCCGCGCGTGCCGCGTGGGCTGGACCCTCTGGCACCTCGGGGGAGTCTCTGCGGCAGCTCGCGTGCCACGCCCGAGCGGCACCCTGGCCGCGCTGGAGGATCTCTGCGGCACATCGCGCGCGGCTCATGGGCAGGATCCTGCGGCCACACGGCAAGTCTCTGCAGCATGTCGTGCACAGTGCGTGGGCGCGGCCCCATGTCAGCCACGAGAAACCTCTGGCGCGCCCCTCCCAATCTCTTAGAACTCACGTAAGGAGCCTTAAGTGAAAGCACTGCTCGCGGAGCAGCACTTCGCTAGGCTAGGTGCGCATGCCCGCGTGGCGTTGAAACACTTCCTGGGAATCGGACGGCTCTCGGGCAGCAAGTCAGGTTTTGTTGACTCTTGTGCATCACCCCGGAAACGAAGCGCAATCCGACCCCGAACTCCTCTCGTTTGGGAGCCCTTTCCATTCTCCCGACGCTTCCCCGCACTCCCGAGGCCACGCATTTCTCTGCTTGCAGCGTGCTATTCAGGACCGAACTGAGCCCGCTCGGAACCATTCGAGGACCATCGGGTTCCACCGCCTCGGCGAGATGCATCGACGAACATTCGAGATCATGCCCCACACGATGCACCGATGTCACTCAAAACTCTCACGGGTCACTGGCCCGCCGGAATCGGGGGACGATGCCCCCAAGAGCCAAGAGCGAGTGTCCCCCAAACCCATCAGCGGCCACTGCTGGGCAGGCGACGTCTGCCTGCAACGGACAGCGCCCCCCGGCGAAACGCCGACAGCGGGGTCGTGCTCACAGCGGGCACGAACTGCTGCCGGCTCCGTCCGTGCCCACTTCTCTCCCAAGAACGGTCCGACAACGTGCTGTCCGTGGGCCGGGCAATGTCGGCGGTGTGGCCGCCGGCACGCAGTCGGATGCACGCCAGAGCGACCCCAGGCAAGAGTGACCTGTGGTGCGCCGCGGCTTGCCGATCGCTCCTCACTTCATAAAATGGGCGCCAGCAGCGACGTGCGTGCTTGCGTTGGCCCCCCCCCTGCGAACCCGACCGCCCGACCCAATGTCACTCCGGCGAAGGGCCACTCTCGCGCGTAGCCGACAAGAGACCCGGAAGTTGGGGCCTAGCCCTGGGACATCCGAGGAGGAGGGAGAGGAGGAGGAGGAGGAGGAGGAGGAGGAGGAGGAGGAGCCAACTCGCGTCGCACGAGAGCTCCTGGCCCGGCCCGGCTGCCGTGCGGCGGCCGCGTGGCACACGGCCCGCGCCCTCCCGCGGAGCTCGTCGGCCGGGAGAGGGGCGACGGAGCCGGCCCGTGCAGCCTGGCCGCGGGCGGGGACCAGCAGCGGCCGAGAGAGCAGAGGCCGAAGCCCAAGAGGGGGGGGGGGACGGCGGATGCCGAGGAGGAGAAGGCAGAGGCAGAGGCCGAGGAGCCAGGGGCCGAGGAGGCGAAGGCCGAGGAGGCGGAGGCCGAGGAGGGCGAAGAGACGAAAGCGGTCGCTTCTGGCGGGCAGACGGAAGCGGTCGTCCGAGCGAGCGGGCCGGGCGGGCCTTCCGTCGGGCGGTCGGGTCGGGTGCTCGGACCCTGCCACGGGCGAAGGGGGTCGGATGCGCGGGTTTGATTTTGCCTCGGGCAATCGGGTCACGGAGGATGTGAGAAGAGGTAGTGAAGGAGGGATGAGGAAGAGGATTATGAGAGCAAGGTGGGAGAAGAGCATGTATTGATGAAGTAAAGAAGGAAACTGAAGGAGACGGATGGGAAAGTTCGTCAAGACCTCTCCCCACGTAACTGCGACCCCGATTCCATATCTACGAATCGCACTCATTGACTTTACTCGCACCTCGAAGGCACGGCAACTTGCACCATACGGCCGTGTTGGCGATCCAGAACAAAAGTCCTCCACCATGTCCTGGATCTTCGGGTCGAAGGGGTGTATCAACAACCCGACGAGCGAAATTCTGGTCGAGATAATTCTTTTCTGCCGCTGGTCGAGAATTTCACGGAAACTCTTCAACCACACCGCCGTGGGAGTGGATGGCGAGCCGACCTCCCCCTCCAAACTGACGACGCGTGTCTTCATTCTCGTGGTAAGATCGGCTACCTGCACGTGCGACGTCGCTACACTCTCGATGAGATTCCCGAACGTGTTCACAAGAACTTCGCTGGATCCCTCGAGTGTAGCCGCGTTCGGCTACAAGAACTCGTGATCGTGGTTCTCATTTGGCAGCATCAACATGTTATATCCATCGGTATGTGGGTTCAGGTCAGCAGCGCATGTTGGGCAGCACTGGGAGTTGGACTAGGAGTTTATCTATATCCGGGTAGCGACAGAGGTCTATCTTGATGTCGATCGTCCTGCTTCCCCTCCACCTACTTCTGCTGCTGCTGCTCTCTCTCTCTCTCTCACTCTCATTCTCTCACTCTCTCTGACTCTCTGCCTCTCCGCAGCCGCTGAGCGCGCTTCCCACCAGTCGACGCGGCGCGCCCGGCCGGCAAGCGCGAGCGCGCGGAACCGGGCCCCGCCGCGGGACCAGCCCGCTCCGAGAGGGGCAGGAGGGGGGAGCGCAGGGCCACCCATGAACTCAGGATCCTCCAGAGGCCTCCGAGGAGGGGGGGGGAAGAGCGGAGGGCCACTCACGGGATGCCGTAGCAGCTGCCGCGGACGGCGCACTGTGCGAGTAGCGTTGTGCATAGCGCACCGTGTTTGCAGCGCTGTGGACGTGGTGGCGTCATAGGCACTCGGTTATGTTGTACCTGGTATCGGTAACGGCGCACTGGCGTATGATCCTCAAGAAATCGTATGAGGTAGTGTTAGAGTCGTCGTCGTCCTCCTCCTCCTCCTACTCCTCCTTGTAGGTGATCCCACGCGCTTAGCGTATCAATATTGAACCGTCTGTGGGCTGCGCTTGTTGTGTGAATCCGTTGGGGAGGCTAGGCCAGTGGACTTGTAGTGGTCGATCAAATCCACGACGAAGTTAGTGCCACCTGTAAGCGTGGGCTGGTAATGTAGATTCAGTTGGTTTGCCAGATCGCATTCGTCGTTGTTCATGTAGTAGACTCTTGGTCTGCGGCCAGGATGTATTTCTGGCCGGCGTGCGTGCGCTGTTCAGGCCTCCATGACTGCCGCGGCTCGAGGGACCATCGCCGCCGACAAGGAAACTCGTCCTCAACGCCGTCGTTCTAGAGCGAAACTGATGGTTTAGACATGCGATAAGGACTCAAGAACCTTGGAAGCCATGTCGAAGTTTTTCGAGCGGGGCTGGCCATCGAACGGGGTGAAGGATGGACCGAGGCGGTAAGGATGCAAGGGTACTCTTGGAAAGGTCCATCCTTACTATCGTTTTCGACTGTATTCTCGGGTGCGTCGACGAGGGAAGGCCGAAGATGGAGGCCAGGGCACGATGGCCCGAGGCGCGTGCGCGGACGAGCGGGAGGACTCTTGACAGCACCGAAAAGAATAATGAGAACAATCGGATGATGGAAACCATGGCATCGGGAAGAATTCTAAGACCAGGCCATGCCATTCCCCCCCTGGTCCTCACCCCCATCTTCGACGCCTAGTGGTTTTCGGGTCATAGCTCGGGCCTCCAGCGGCCGCTCGGGCTGAGCTGGGCACTCCCACAACACTCGCGACGGGGCGCAGCTGCTGGAAGTCATCTTGGGGCAAGAAAACAACAGGAACCAGCAGTAGGCTCCTCAGGCGCGGGAGAGGGCTGCTGAGCCGCGGAGGTCCTGGGGCGCCGCGCCCCGTCGCCCATGCCCCTGGGCAAGCTCAGTGGAGCAGTCGTGGTCCACGGGCCTTCCGGTGCGCTTGCTCGTGGCACCACCATCATGGCATCATGACTGTCCCGCCTCGTCCTCGTCCTCGTCCTCTTTCTGGTGCTCCCCTCATCCCGTCTCTCCTTTTTCATTTTGTTCCCAGCCATCCTGTGGTGTTGGGTCCTCGTTTTGAAGAGCTAGCGCCCCGCGTCGAGACCGAACACCCGCATCTAAGCTAGTACTTGGGTCGCCCACGCTAGGCACGTCGTAGGCCTCGGGCAACGCACACCCGTTGTCATATCCGCCGACCCCCTTGGGGTTCATCGGCGAGTGAGATGTTTTACCCACCCCAAACCCCTCCCCCGGGAGCCTGGTGAGGTCGATTTGGAGGGGGGGGTCCCCTGGGGACGCTGCGAACGCATCATGGGGGGCAGGGGGCCAAAAACAGCCCAAGATGCCACTAAGAGGCCCTCTGGACGGTCTAATAGGGGCCACGAGCCGCCGAATGATCAAACAAAAACGCCCACGCTGGCCTCCAGATGGCCCAATGAGTCCCCCAAAACGCCCCAAGAAGCCCTCAAGACGTGTCCCAAGACTGCCTCATAGAGTAAATGTCGCTCCATTTACATGGGGAGGCATGTTTTGTTCAGCACTGTCGCCTATTCTGCGATCACCACGTCCAAGACAGGCCAAGGAGCCGCCTGGGTCGCGTCAAGACGGCCAACGAGCCCCCCCAAGAGAGCTCTCGAATGAGCCAGGAGGGCACCACATATATATATATATATATATATGTATATATATACATATATATATACATATATATATGTATACACTACAACCATCGCGCGCGCTTCGCGCGCGCTCAGGTTCTAGCAGGCCCCAGGCCTTGACGAATTCACTGCTCCATTGAAGTAGTGGACCACAGTCCACGCATACCAATCTGCATTCCGAATGGCCTTCGAGGAAAATGGTTGTGTAGGGAGGCGGAGACCATATGAATCGGGTTCCCAGAAGGCCTTCTGGGAGCATGGGTTTGGGGGCGTCTTGGGGAGCCTGTTGGGGCGCGTCATCGTCGTCGTCGTCGTCGTCGTCGTCGTCGTCGTCGTCGTCGTCGTCGTCGTCGTCTTCATCGTTTCGTCGTCATCGTCGGTTCAAGAGGGCACTTGGGGCAACTTTGTGCGAAACGATCTGCGGAGGGCCGCGAGAAGGCGATCAGTCATGTTCCCAATCAACTTCCCAGACAGCTCTCCTCTAGCATAATCGCTCTTCGAAGCCTCTGGAGACTCGCGGGCCCATGATAAACCATGTCCCGCAAGGCTTTCTGGGAACATGGTTTGTCGGGGTGTGTTGGGGGGTCTCTCGGGCGTTCCCTGGGGGCCCCTTGGGGGCCTCCGGGAACTCTCGGGCCCATGATGAACCATGTCCCCGGAAGGTTTTCTGGGGACATGATTTCTTGGGGTGTGTTGGGGAGCCTCTTGGGCGTTCCCTGGGAGCCCCTTGGGGGTCTCTTGGGGCTTCCTGGGGGCCTCTTGGGCGCCTCACGGGGGTTCGTGGGAGCCTCTTGGTGGCCTCCAGGGGCCTACAGGCGGCCTCTAGGGCCAGAGACCTCGAAACATCGGTTGGCGGTCCCCCTCTGGGCCCTCTCTTGGGGAGCTCTTGGGGCACAGTTGGGTTGTCTGGGGAGCCTCATGGGCCGTCTTGGGGCCCTCTTCGGGGCCTCGTGGCCCGTCTTAGAGCGATCTGAAAGGCCTCAGAGCGAGGCCGTGAGGGAGCGCTGGGAGCGGGGAAAGCGAGAACGCCTAAATCCTTCAAAAACCATCGGATAATTAGTGAATCTTGTCTCCCAGGGCCCTCTTGGGGAGCCTCTTGAGTCCGTCCTGGAGCGTGTTGGAGTCCTCGTCGGCCGTCTTGAGGGCAACTTGGGCGTCTTCGGGGCCTCGTGGGACCGTCTTGGGCACTCACCTCCATCAGCCTGTCGTGGCCTGCTTCGGGGCGGGCCCGGGCCGCCTTGGGACCCCTCTGGGCCTTCTCTTGGCGCGCTCTTGGGGCAGACGTGGGTTGTCTGGGGAGCATCCTGGGCCGTCTTGGGGCCCTCGTCGGGGCCTCGTGGGCCTTCTTAGAGCGACCTGAAGGGCCTCCGAGGCCGTGAGGGAGCGCTGGAACGCGGGAAAAGCGAGAACGTCAAAATCCAAACCACTCGGAAAACGAGTGAATCTTGCCTTCCAGGGCCCTCTTGGGGAGCCTCTTGAGTCCGTCCTGGAGCGTGTTGAGTCCTCGTCGGCTGTCGGGGCATCTTGGGCGTCTTCGGGGCCTCGTGGGACCGTCTTGGGCACTCTCGGGACCCCCTTAGCCTGTCGTGGCCTGCTTCGGGGCGGGCCTGGGCCGCCTCGGGAGCTCTGGACCCCTCCCCGCAAACCTCCCCCCGGTGGGCACCGATGGGGGGAACAAGCAGCGGGCCGCCCCCCACCCCGGGCCTACTCCGAGATAGAGAATCATGTTCCCGGGAAGCTTTCCGGGAACATGATTTGTTCGGCTCTCCAAGAGGGGGGCCTCTGGGGGCTTACCGAGGGGCGCCTTTTGGCCTTGTCGGCAAGCCTATTGGAAACATGGTTGGGGCGGTGGGCGGAAGCCCAAGGAATCATGTTCCCGGAAAGCTATCTGGGAAATACGATTTACCGAAGTGTCTTGGGGAGCCGCAAGGGGCTGCCCCTTGGGGGCCTATTGGGACTTCCGGGGGGCCTCTTGGGAGCCTCACGGGGCTTCTTGGGAGAGTCTTGATGGGCGTCCTAGGAGCCTCTCAGGCCAGAGACCTTGAAATGTCGCGCTCTTCGGGCCCTCTTGGGTCGCTCTTGGGGCTCTCTTGGGGCGCTCTCGAGGCCCTCTTGACTTATCTGGGGAGCCTCCTGGGCCGTCTCTGGTCTTTCTTGGGGGCCTCTTCGGCCGTCTTGGAGCGATCTGAAGGGCCTCTGACGCGGTCTGGGACTGTGGGGAGGCGGAACATGGGAGAGCGCAAGAATGATTCAAAAAACATTCGGAAATTCATGGTTTTCGGCTTCTGGGGCCCTTTGGAGGGGCCTCTGGAGGCGCTCTTGGGGCGTCTTGGCGGCGTCGTCGGCCGACCTGAGGCCATCTTCGGCGTGTCCGGGGCCTCTGGGAGCTGTCTTTGGGCGTCCTGGGAACCCGGAAATCACGTTCCCGGAGAGGCTTCCGGGAACATGATTTCGAACGAGGCCCTCTTGGGCCTCCTGGAAGCCGTCTTGGGTGCCTCCTGGGCCGGCTGTGGGGCCTCTTGGGCCGTCTTGGGAGGTTCCGTAAGCCCCACGGGACGACCCTTTTACGCCGTCTTGGGCCCTCGTGGGGATCTCTCTTGGGCTGTCTTGGGGCTCCGCGGGGGCGTCTGGGGCACTGCGACGACGAACCAAGGGAGTATGCTGAAAAAGCACGTTATACTAAGGGCACCGGCTGATTTTGGCCTTTTGAAGGCGTGGTGGGGACGGTGGTGGTGGGGACAGTGGTGTGGGGACAGTGGGAATGTGGTGGAAACAGTGGGACAGTGGAGGGTACAGTGGAGGTGGGGACAGTGGTGAAGGCGGTGGCGAGGAAGCGGAGGAGTCAGTGGGACAGTGGGGACAGTGGGGATAGTCGGGCAGTGGTTGGGGCCGTGGAGAAAGTGGGGACAGTGGAACCGTGGTGGGAACAGTGGTGGGGACAGCGGGGATAGTGCGACAGTGGTGGGGGCACTGGTGGGGACAGTAGGGACGTTGGTGGAACCAGTGGGGACAGCGGTGGTGAGGACAGTGGTGCTGGGAACAACAGTGGGGGATGTGGTGCGGACGGTGGTAGGGACCGGGAGTCGTTTGCTGGCGGTGAGGGGGGGGGGAGGGGTTCGAACCGGTAGTGACCCCCCTCCGGTTTTCGAGGGGGGGGGGTTCGAACCGGTAGTGACCCCCCCCGGTTTTCGAGGGAGGGGGAGGGTGGGTTGGGGGAGGGGGGGTTTTGCCGGGGGGGAGGGGGGAGGGTCCAGCAGGGGGTCCAGCAGGGGGGGGGGGGGATTCTCGGAGGGGGGGGGTCACGGGTTCCGGAGGAAGAGGGGGGGGAATTTTCAATAGTAAAGCGGCGGTTGATCACGCTCTCTCTCTCATATATATATATAGGTGTATATATATATATATATATATTCACCTTGAGAGAGAGAGAGAGAGAGAGAGAGAGACAGAGAGAGAGAGAGAAAGAGACGCCACGAGGGCACCAGAAGGCCCTCTGGACTCTCCAATAGGGCCACGAGCCGCCGAATGATCGATCGAACACGCCTTCGCTGGCCTCCGGACGGCCCAAGAGGCCCCAACGACGCTCCAAGAAACCCTCAAAAGGCGTCCCAAGAGGGCCTCGAAGAGCAAACATCGCCCAATGTTCATTGGAAAGCCACCATTGTTTGCACATCCGCCTCGTCTGCGACCACAACGTCCAAGACTTCCCAAGAAGCCTCCTGCGTCGCCTCAAGACTGCCCAAGACGCCCCCAAGAGAACTCTCAGACGGCCCAAGAGGGGCCCCCAAACCAATAGAAAAACAAAGAAAACCATACCAAGAGGGCACCGAACGGCCCTCTGGATCGTCCAATAAGGCCACGAACCGCAGACAAAAGCAATCGAAAACGCCCACGCTGGCATCCAGACGGCTCAAGCGGTCCCCAAGACGACCCAAGAAACTCTCAAGAGGTGTCCCAAGATGGCCTCACAAAGCAACAGTCGCCCCATTCCCATGTGAAAACTTGCATTCTCAGTACATCCGCCTTTTGTACGCTCACAACGTCCAAAACCTCCTAGATCGCCCCAAGACGGCCCAATAGTCCCCCAAGAGGGTACCCTGACAGCCAAAGACAGCCCTAAGGCCGCTGAACAAAAAAAAAAACGGCACAGAGGGGCCCCAGGACAGCCCCGAGAGGGGGCCCAGAAAGGGGAACCCAAACGAGCATTTCGAGCCTTCGATCCCAAACCGCCCCCCCGGCTGCCCCAAGAAACCCAAACACGCCCTCAGGGTAC